TTTATTCATTTACATTTTCTTTATGCCATAGGGTGCGTTGAACCTAGGGAGTAATGAGCTACACTAATTGCTAGCCCATTTTATTTTATTTATTTTTAGCATTCTTTTAGACAGGGTCTTGCTATGTAGCCCAAGGCTGACTTCAAACTCCCAGGTATCCTCCTGCCTCAGCCTTCTCAGTGCTAGTAGCTAGGATTGCAGGTGTATGCCACCATGCCTGGCCCTCGCCCTTTTTAATTTTTTTAATTTATTTTTAATTTATTTATTTATTTATTTATTTTTGGTCTTTTTCATTTTTATCGGTACCAGGGATCGAACTCACGACCACCTGCTTGCAAGGCAGGTGCCTATGCCGCTGAGCTAAACCTCCAGCCCCCAGCCCTTTTTATTTTAAGACAGTGTCTCGCTATATTGCCCAGGTTGGCTTTAAACTTGTGGTCCTCCTGCCTCTGTCTCCTTAGTGCTAGAATTACAGATGTACACCACCATACCTGACTGGGGTGTGGTCTCTTTCCTTTCCTTCCTTCTTCCCTTCTTTTCTTCCTTCTTTCCATCTTTTCGCAGTGCTGGGATTAAGCCCAAGTCCTTGCATGTGCTAGGCAAGTACTCTACCACGGAGCTATATCCCTAGGTCCTAATATAAGGGTTTTTGTTAAATGCATTTGGTTTGGTTATGGACTAGGACAGTTGTTTTCACTCTTTAGTATATTTGTCTGCAGCAAACATATACTAAGAAAATTTTTAGAAGGTAAAAAGTATTGTATTAATCATTGCATTATAACATATTATTATTAGTATATTCAGACAGATCTGAATGCTCCTAAAGAGAAAGAACATGTAATATGTTTGAAAGCCTTGGCAGGCAAGGTGGCAAACCCCTGTGATCCCAGCACTAGTGAGATGTGGCAGGATGATTGCTGCCAGTTTGAGGCCAGTCAGGTTTACACAGTGAGTTCAAGGCCAGCCTGAACTACATAGTGAGACTCTGTCTCAAATCAACAAAAGGGAAAAAAACCCTTGAAAAGGAATTGAAGTGGTTGGGAAATGATTTACTGTAACTATATAGTGAACTACGGAAAATAATCTAAAGAAAACACAAAGTTGAAGAAATAAATATATATGTTGCTTGGTTGTGAGTAGCCTTTCCAAATCCTAATAAGGCAAACATTCAGTAATTATATTGTCTTTCAGGAGGTGGGAAGAGGGAAATGTGTCTATATGACAGGAATTAGAGAATGGGGGAATGTTAAATTCCTAATCTCCTATAGTGTGGGAGTCAATAAGAAAATGCCAAAATCTTGCCTATCATGGTAGGACATGCACATAATCTAGCACTCTGAGAGGCTGAGGCAGGAGGATTGAAAGTTCAAACTCAACCTGGACAATTTAGCAATTTAACAAAATCTTATCTCAAAATAAAAACAAGCGGGGCTGGGGATTTAGCTCAGCAGCATAAAGCACCTGCCTTGCAAGCGGGCGGTCTGAGTTCGATCCCTGGAACTGATAATAAATAAATAAATACATACAAGCAAAACAAAACAAAAGATACAAACAAAAACAAAGCTGGCTTGGTGGTGCATGCCTGTAATCTCAGCACTCAGGAGGCTGAGGCAGGAGAATCACTACATGTTTGAGGACAGCTTTAGCTACATCATGCACCTGTCTCAAACAAACAAACAAAAATCACACACACACACACACACACACACACACACACACACAAATAAAAAGAGGGATGAGGACATAGCTCAGTGCAAAGGCCCTAGGTTTATTCCCCAGATATCCCACACATGCACATGTGCACACATGTACACAGAAAGAGAGAGAGAAAAGAAAGAAATGCCTAAATTTAAAAAGGCAGCAGCTGAAAGAAGGATATTCTCTGTAATAAACGGTGCTGGGGAAACTCTTTCCACACGCCAAATATAAAAAGTTAGATCCATATTTCTCACCATACACTAAACTAAAATCGAAATGGGTCAAATATCTAAATAGTAAGAAACATTAAATCTGCTGGAAGATAGGATAAGTAAAGCTCTTAAGACATAGTGTAGGCAATGACTATAAACAACTCCAGCTGCATAGGAACTATCACAAAGAATCAGCAACTGGCATCATCTTATTAAAAAGCTTTTGCACAGCAAGAGAAACCACCAACAGTGTAAAGAGACAACCCACAGTGTGGGAAAAATATTTGCCAGCTCTTCCTCAAAGGATTGATACCTAGAATATATAAAAAAGCTCAACAAAATCAGACCCCACAAATTTAAAGACTCAGTCCAAAAATGGGCATCTGAAATGAATACACACTTCTCACAGGAAGAAATACAAATAGAAAATAAATATATGAAAAAATGTTCAACATCACTGATCCTTCAACAGATACAAAATAAAACAAATGAAAACCAGGTATAAGTGGTACGCATCTGTGATCCCAGCACTCAGAAAGCACGAGGCTCGCTGCAAGTTTGAGGCTAGCCTGAACTGCGTAGTTAAACCATGTCTCAAAAAGACAAAAAAGAAAAAGAAAAGGAAATCAATAACAAATGCTGGAGGGCCAGAGGGGGAAAAGGAACCTTTCTCCACTGTTGGTGGGAGTGTAGACTGGCGCAACCACCGTGGAAATCCATGTGGAGATTCCTCAAAAACAAAACAAAAAGACTAATACTAACCAAGCCTAATGGTGCATGTAATCCCAGTACTTGAGACGATCACTGTAAGTTCAACATAGTGAGACCCTGCATCAAAAAAACAAAAAACCCCTAAAAACTAAAACTAGAGGTTCCATTTAACTCAGCTATTCTCCTTTGGTATCTTCTAGAAAGAACGAAAAGCATCACACCACAGTGATATATGCACACCCATATTTATAGTGGCACAGTTTACACTCTTTTTTTTTTTTTTTTCCCTTTTGTACCAGGGATCTAACACCATGACCTTGCACTTGCCAAGCAGGTGCTTACACCATTGAGCTAAATCCCCGGCCCTAGTGGCACAGTTTGTAGTAGGTAAATCTTGAAAACAGCCCAAATGCCCATCAACTAGTGAATGGAAAAAGATATGAGGTATTTTTTTATTTGTTTTTTGTTTCACAACGGAATACTCCTGTGTCATAAAGAAACATGAGCTTGAGACCATATTCTTTTTTTTTTTTTTTTTTTTTTTGTCTTTTTCCTTTTTATCGGTACCAGGGATCAAACTCACGACTGCCTGCTTGCAAGGCAGGTGCTTATGCTGCTGAGCTAAATCCCCAGCCCCGAGACCATATTCTTAAGTGAAATAAATTAGACATACATGTGTAAATATCAGATTGCTTCTCTGGTGTGAGAAACTGAAAGAACCAAAATATATAATAGGTACTGGGAAATAGGAAGAAAATGTTCAAATGGTACAGTAACAAGGACAACAACAGAAAAACAATTGTTTTCTTTGAAGAGTTTGATTTAGGATTAAGATGGAGGAACTGTTAGAAAACTTATCAAATGCTGGCCTCTTTTTTTGGTCTTTTTTTTTCCTTTTTATTGGTACCAGGGATCGAACTCACGACTGCCTGCTTGCAAGGCAGGCACTTATGCCACTGAGCTAAATCCCCAGCCCTAAATGCTGGCCTCTTTATCTGCACCGATTAATTGGATTAAAGGTGAAACTAAATTTTAAAAGTTATGCTGTGGCAGGACATTGGTTTCATAGAAAACATGCTAAATGTGAAGCAGAGATGAGGAAGCCATAGGACTGATGCAGTTGTGAACGCCAGCTGCTAATGTGTTTAGATTTCATTCTTTAAACACAGCAAAAGACACTAAATCCCTCTTGAGCAGGGGCAGGACAGGTTCAGACTCGTGCTTGGGGAACATAATTGAGTGCATCTGAGCAGGGAAGGACCCTAGAGATTACCCAGTAAGGCTGACCTCCTTCAGCACAGAGGGATGAGTATGTGGCGGAGCACATCTCAAATGGTGGGAGGGAGTCCGGCTCTTCTCTCTCCCTGACCAGCTATTCTTGCCCTCAGTCTTGCTTCCAGTACCCAGAAAAGACTAAGAAACCAGGCTTGCTCCCTTTTTATTCCCCAGAATCCACTTCATTTGGCCCAGTACACTTCCCATCAGATGATGCTTTGGCTGTTACTAAGCTTATTGGTGAATCTGGATCAGTTCAATAGTTAATGCTCTAAATAGCAGTTTCAAAACTTGGATTGCATTGGGTTTATTTACTTATTTTTTTAACAGGGGAATGGTTCACATTTATTAAAGGAAAATAGAAGAGGAAGAATGAGCTCTGCAGAACAATTTTAGGCCAAAGAAAAAGAAAAAGAGGGAAAAAAGATACACTCTACAGCCTAGCATGGGCTGTCATGCATGGGATTGGGATAGGGTTTTAATACTTAATTTTTACTAAGCCCTTCCTTTGCATGAGGTACTGTGCTGAGTATGTAATAAGCAGCAGTCAGAACCCTAGCAATCACCCTATGAGGTGATTTAGCCCTGTTTTAAAAACTGGAGGTCAAAGAAGGTAAGGTATGCTCACAGTCAGATAGCATATCAGTGGTAGAGTTTTTGTTCTGTTTTGTTTGTTTTTTGTCTTTTTGAGACTGTGTCCCACTGTGTAGTTCAGGCTGGCCATTAACTCACTATGTACCCTAGGCTGGCCTTGAGCTTGCAGTGATCCTCCTACCTCAGTCTCCCAAATGAGGGATTACAGGCCTGCACTACCATGCCTGCCCTGTGTAGCGGTAGAATTTTTTGTTGGTTTTTGGTTTTGGTGTTGATTTTTGTTGGTATTGAGTGTTGAACCCAGAGCCTCATGCTAGACAGAATTCTCTCCAACCTGAGCTCAAATTGTAAGTAGAGGTCTGCTTGCTTCTGAAGCGTACTTTCTGATTTCTCCTGTTTCCATGCTTCTTGAAAGTGAAGCACAGCTGGATCACAAGGTAGGGGTCTTTGGAAACCCCAGGGAAACCCAGAGCCCAGCACCCGGGACTGATTCCTCCTTCTCCTCCTTAGGCTTCCCTGCGAGCCATCGATGTGAAGATCCTGCAGCAGCTGGTGAGCTTGAACGAGGGGATCGAGGCCGTGCGCTGGCTGCTGGAGGAGCGGGGAGCGTTGACCAGTCACTGCAGTAGCCTCACCAGCAGCCAATACAGCCTGACAGGCGGGAGCCCAGGCCACTCAAGGCGAGGCAGTTGGGACAGCCTGCCGGATACCAGCTCCACTGACCGTCTGGACAGTGTCTCTATTGGCAGCTTCTTGGACACCGTGGCCCGCAGAGAGGTGGATGAAAAGGGGCCCCCTGGAGCTCCCTGTCCCGAGATGGACTGGGCAAAGGTTATTCCTGGAGAAGAGAGGGCCAGGACTGGTGTGGATCTGATGAACACTAGGCTAGGGAGCTGGAGGGCTTTGTGGAAGCCTCCAGGAGAGGGGGTGCAAGGTGGACCCCCTGGCCCCCCAGAGGATGAGAATGCCACCTTGGGCTTTGAGGATCACTGGTACTGGGAACAAAGCCAGGATGATGTGACTTTTTTGTAACAATTTTTGCATCCTTTTGTGTTCCTATGGCACTTTCATCCTTGGTCCTGGTCTCCCTCAAAATGTGTTGTCCCTCAAATCTAAGACTAGGAATAGGCTCATGGTAACTGAGATCAGTTACCATGGAAACCTAGCTTGCCATTCCTCTGGTCCCTTGAGAGGCTCTGTCTTTATCCCTCAATTATCCAGTCCCTAGAGCTATCTCCATAGAGATGGTGACTCTAGATTCTCGGCTTGTGGCTCCTTGTGTGAGGGTATCTCCATCTTCCTCCCCTCACTATGTAAGGATTGAGGAATCACAGGTCACTGATGAAGTGGTAGGGGTGTAATTACCTCAACCAAAGACCAGGAGCTTTGTCTTTTCTTGGCCAAAACTGAGGGTTAAGGAGGGACATGGAATTCAGGGCCAATCCTTCATAGATTTGTCCTCCCAGAAGCCTTTGGAGTTGGTGGACCCATTCCTTCCTATATACTGAGTGATGTCATTTCCTGCTGGGATGGACCAGCCAGCTGGGATGATACATGATGGAGATGTCTGAGTCCCTGCTGCTAAGCAAGACCAATCACTTAATGTCCATACCATTACTTTTGAATGGAAACACATCACCCCTCCCAACAGGAAAATTTCTCATTGAAAGATATGTGTGCTGCTTTTCAGATAGGCTGTTTTCATTTCATCCTGGGTGTCTCTCTTCCTCCATGTCTGCATCCCTCTTGGGTACCAATACTCTTATCTGTGTTGTTCTTTTATGGAGAGAAATTGTCAGAGGTCTCCACCTACAGGCTCTCATCTGCTTCCTCACTCTGCCATAGAGCCCTGTCTTACCCTGTTCCTGGCCAGCCTCATTTCTGTGTTATGACTTCATGCCTCCTGGTAGGAAGATTCTGTTTCTGTACTTCCGTAACTTCTCAGTTTCCTCTTCACTTTCAGCCCTTTTATATGCAAATGAGTCTTGGTCTCACCCTTTGCAGATGGGAGATAGAGAAGGAGAAATTTGAAGTCCGGGAACTCTGAAATAATTCTAGGATCTTGAACACTGGGGGAGGGGGGGGTGTTGTCTTCTCTGAGTCTGTGATTACCCTTCCCCCACCTTGTTCAGCCAGCTACCATTTGGTCACAAGGACGCCTGCCTGCAGCTAGGATACAAGGAATCTCCTTGTCTGGACTACAATGTGGGGGTGTGGCAGGAAAGACAGAGGCTCTTTGGTCCCTGGGCCCCATCCAGGGGGTGAGCAAAGGCAGGTCCTCCCTTCCTCTCACAGCTAGCCCGTGATTCCTGGGACCTAAAAAGGGAGCAGGGACCACCTCTGGGCTATGTCCCAAGGTCCTAGCTGATTATCCAAAGAAAGAATTCAGGGAAACTGGGACTCAGGGAGGAGACAGGCCTAGAGAGTAGGCACTGGCGCTGGCTGATATCAGAATGAATTCTTGGAAATTAACTCTCTAAACCTCAGGTAACAATCCCTGTCTTTGTTGGCTTCTGTCTTTCCTGAGCCCTGGATTACTAGAAAGAAAAATGGGAGGAATAAGGATGATCTTTGGTTGGTTAGTTTGTTGTACTGAGTTGGAAGAGTCTTCCCCAAATCCTGGAATAATTCCACCATTTCTTTACTTTGTATTTTATGTTGTGGGAGAGAGGAAGCCAGATTGATCACCTCCACTTCTCTAATATTACTTCCTCAGTGCTATATTGCACCTCCAGCCCAGTCCTTCTGGAGCAATACATTCCTTCCTCTGCTCTTCCATAAAGAATCCTTTGCCTCTTGTGCTCTGCTCAGTCTTTTAAATTTTCAAAGTATCCTCTCTGCTTTACTGTCTACCATCCTTGTCCTTACCGCTTCTCATGGTCCTGTGGCGCTTGACTTCCCCTCAGACTAGGATCTCAAATATTGTACGTATTGCAATCTCTACACTGTACTGGTTTTGTAGTGTGCCCTTGAGTAACTGCCCTTCCTCTTGGAAGCCATTGTATTTCTTTCCAAGGCATCTAGTCCACCAATTTCTGGACTGAAGAGGTTGCCCGCCCCCTTGTGACCATTTTGCAACATTGCTGTGATTGCTAAGAAGAACCTCCATGCTCAAATAAAATACAGTTTAGCCTTTCAGAAGACCGGTGGAGGTCACCCATGCACAGACAGTCTATTGTCACCCATTGTAAAACGGCAGCAAAGCCCAGATTGCTTGCCTGCTCACCCACAGCTCTGTCACTTGGCCACATTTTCCAGTCCATGTCCCCAACCCAAAGACACTGGACACACTTTTCCCCATTACATTTGGCCTATAATTTTCCACCTTTAAATGACAGCCCAGTGTTAGAGAAGGAGCAACAGGCTCTGAGGACGCGGGGCCTGATAGGGTGAGAGGGGCACCAGTCTGCATGTCAGATAGGAGGAAGATCAATACAGGGCCAATCATTTTTTTCTGGAAGGAAAAGTAGGTTCCAACGTCAAAGGAACAAAACTCAGTGTCTCAGACCTGGAGAATGGAAACAGGGTGAAAATAGGAAAACCAAATAGGTCCTGTAGAGTAGGGGGTGCACTACAGGTCAGGAGTCACAGGTCAGGTGGGTAGGCCTTTGAGAGTATGGGGCTGGAGAGCTGCCCAAGCAAGGCTTCTGGAGATTCTGGGTAGGTTGAGGCAGTCTGCCTTCATACCTTTGACTCTAGCTCCCTACCAGAGAAGCCTAGGAACCTGCTTCTAGGTTCTAGAAGCCTAGGAACCAAAGCAGCCTGGGTCCCTGCTCCCTGCCTGTGGACCGACTAGTTGAGACTCAGCTGTCACTTTAGGTTTGACTATTCTGGGGTACCGGTAGGAGCTGTTAGGTAGCTAGAGAAGAAAGAAGGAAAAGGGTCTGAGACGGAGACACAAGAAAGACAGATGGAGGGGCTGGGGATTTAGCTCAGCGGCTTAAGCGCCTGCCTTACAAGTAGGCAGTTGTGAGTTCGATCCCTGGTACCGATAAAAAGGAAAAAGACCAAAAAAAAAAAAAAAGAAAGACAGATGAAGACTGGGTGCTGAAAGTACCAGGAGCTACTGCTCTCCAGGTGTGTGGGGGCTTTTGTTAAGAGTCAGGGTGAAGGCAGAGACGAGGTTGAGCACAATAGCTGGGACAAACCCTTTGGAGGATGCATGGTCCACCCCAGGCATGTGAGAACAGGTGAGGGCAGGGCGGTGGCCCTGTAATTGGGACACCTGGGCACTCTGTGGTTTCAGTGAGAAACACTGGGATTATAATGGACACAAGGCCATCCTGTACATGGCATCAGCCACATACTGGGCATTAGGTTACAGCTGTTCCATACATGTGCAGAAAACCACAAAGAAATGTGACATAACAGGAAATGAGATTGGTGCTTTTGGTGCTTATACCCTGGGTAATTTAAAACGCTATATTTAATTTTCTTTCTTTCTTTCTTTTTCTTTTTTTTTTTTTTTTTTTTTGTCTTTTTCCTTTTTATTGATACTGGGGATCGAACTCACGACTGCCTGCTTACAAGGCAGGTTGCTTATGCCGCTGAGCTAAATCCCCAGCCCCTAATTTTTAGCAACCCTATATATTGTACATTGTTTACTGTGTTGTTGCTTAGAAAATTTGCTCAAGGTCAGATAACAGATGAGTCACATATAGGATCCTCATTTAGCAGTGTGATTTGCAGGGACTTCTAGGAAGTCATCCCTGATTCTTCACCACACCCTTCACACTCCCGCCTTCCTTATTCACTTAAAGACAGTAAATTAGTGCTGCATGGGAGCAGAGGCAGCCTGGTAATTTCTTATTGCTAGTGTAACAAGTTATCACAAACCTAGCAGCTTGAAAAACACATGTATTACAGCTCTGGAGGTTGGAAAAACGGGCTTTCCTGGGCTGAAGTGGAAGTGCTCATTGTGCCCCTTGAAGAATGTAGGGAGGACCTACTCTTTCTGCCTTCTAGAGGCTGCATGCTTTCCTTGTTTCAGGCCTCCCTCATCTCCACCTCCAACCCTACACACACCCCGGGAACTGGACTCTGCTCACCCCGCCCTCCCTTTTATAAATGTTTTTGAGATAGGTTCTCACTAAATCACTAAATTGCTCAGGCCAGCCTTGAATTTAGAATCCTCATGCTTCAGCCTCCCAGGGCACTATGATTATGGGTGTGTGTCCCCACACTCTGAAGCCTTCATGCATTTTCAAGGTTGGCTGTGTGTTATTTTTTCATCTATCAGAGTTCCGATTTCATCCCTACATTCTTCTCCCTAATTCTGCTGCCCCCCTCCTCAAAGGATTATGTTGTGAATTTATGCCCATCCTGCAACCTTGTGATTACACTGAGCCCCCTGGGATAATCCAGGATCATCCTACCATCTCAAAACCTATTTTTAACCACATTTTAAAGTCCTTTTTTGCCACTTAAAATATATATTCATAGGTCCTGGACACAAGGCAGTGTGCGTCATTGGGAAGAATCCAGCCAGCCACAGACAAGGGTGTATGATGGGCAGGAAGATCCGCACTGGCCCGGAAAACCGCCTGTGCTTGGTCTGTCTCTCAGCCTGCAGTGAGGGGTGAGGCTGCAGGGAGAATAGCAAGTGGCTCCTGCACCATCGACATCCGTCACGGCTGAGGAACCTTTGTAGGCCTTTGCCCCTCTGGTGACTGAGAAGGATGGCTCCTCAGCCCTGTCTGCTCTCCAGAGTCATTCTGTGTCGCTTTGCAGGCAGGAGATAGTTACACTCCCGGTTAAGTAGCCGGGCACTCTAGATTAGGTGTGTTAGTTGTCTCTTTAAATTGTTTTTGCTTCTGAATAGTTTCATTTTGTTTGGGGGGTTTAGTTTGTTCTTGTGTTCAGGATTGAGGCCAGGGGCTAGTAAAACCACACCCCCTCCATACATGGTGAATTCTTACTTTCACGTGCTACTAGACACTTTTCTTGTTTTCTTGCCTTCTTTTGGTCCCTGATACCTATTCTCATATCTCTCCCTATCATATGTGTCAGCACTATTGTTTGAATATGTACATAATCTTTATATGTAATTATGTACTTCTATATAAATGGTATGCTTTGACTGTAAATGGTCTTCTATAATGAATTGCTCCCTTATTTCAGTATTTAACCCAATAAAGATTTATTTTCACTTAATTCTACATAGTACAGGTGCTCCTAGACCAAAGCCCTCCCCTGCCATCTTGGTCATGTTCCAGGCGCCTTCTGTTTCCAGGTGTCGACCGTCCAGTCCCTGCCTCCTGAAGTTCCCTACTGCTTCTGCACCACGCCATTCCACTGTCTTCGGATGATTTTATCAGTTGGTTACTACACTAGGAATCATGAAACTGTGACTTTCTAATAGTACCTTTTCATTGTTAGGTCTTAATTCTATGCAAAAAAATTTTTTTCACTTCCTCTAGGATCATTTGGTTACCCTAAAATAAAGTTGATACCAAAAATGTTTAAATCTCTTTGCTTTCTTACCATTTTCCAAGTACTGAGTTGTTGTCTCAACTATTAATGGTATTCAGTAATTTTTGTTTGATTTTTTGTTTTAAAGAGAGTAACAATGGTTAATGCATTCATTGCATGTTGTTATCTTTAAACTAGTTACTCAGAGTTTTAGTTTTGGGTTTTTAGTTTTGTTTTGTTTTTGTTTTTTGCTACAGGGTCTCTATGTGTGGTTCAGGCTATTCTTGAATTTACTATATAGCTCAGATAGCCAAGATTGGTCTTAAACTTGTCATATCTTGCCTCAGCCTCCCAAGAGGTTTATTGGAGTGAGCCACCAGGCCTGACTTTATGGGGATGTTTTTTATTTGGTAACAACAGTAGCTTAGGGCTGGGGATTTAGCTCAGCAGCATAAGCGCCTGCCTTGCAAGCACGCGGAGTTCGATCCCCCCGTACGGATAAAAGACAACACTGACAACAACAGTAGCCTAGAATGGCAGCAATTAGATTCTTTCAGTGTTTACACTTTTAATTTCATTTGTAGTTTCCTTAGTTTGTGTTTTTCAAATAATCTGTTTCTCTTAAGTTGTTGAATTTATTGGCATAAAGTTGTTCATAACAATTCCTTTTACAAAATATTCAGTATACAATAAAGCACAAATGCAGAAAACAAATAAAACAAAGGTAAGGCTTAATGAATTATTCTGAAGCAAACCTTTTCTTGGCAGGGGGTGGATGTTAGTACAAGGGATTGAACCCAAGGCTTTGACACTGAGCTACACTTCAGCTTTTTTTTTTTTTTTTTTTTTTTTTAAAGCAGGATTTCCCTACATGGATGAGTTGCCCAGATTTGGCTCAAACCTGCTGGGGTACAGGTGTTTCTCAGTACTGCCAGTTTATCAGAGATTTGTACTAGCTCCCAGTCTCCTAAAATGAGTTATAGCGAAGGCTTAAATAAAAAAAGACAAGCGGTATAATTTGTGGGGGAGTCTACGAAGGTCAGCACACTCTGGGAGTAAAGACAAGGATTCTTTTGGATCAGTGTATTTATTAGGTTTTCACAGATTTAAGAGGTACAGGAAGAGTAGGGTGCATTGGATACAAAAGCCCATGAAAATGACCAGGATGACCTTTGAGAAACAAAGACAGTAAATCTTGGCAATTAAGAGAACTGATCTCTAAGGTTGACAATTTTACTGCTCTGGGAGTAGGGAGTCTCTGATGTGGTACCATCTTGACTTCAGAGCACTGTGAATAGGAGCTTTGCCAACACAGCCAGAGACCTTTCATGGTCAGCACTTTAACCCATATATACTCTGGTCTCTGACAGCAGCTTCTACAAACATTCTTGTAGCCAACAGAGTCGATCATGCCAAGAACAGTGACCTGTCTGAAGTCCTGTCCACAGGCTCCATCACAATTATAGTCTTGTTTCTATCCACATATAGCCATTGCCTGATTTTAGGGTGTTTACTTTTCTCTGTTTTTTATGGTGTTATCAATTTTGCCTCCTTGACACTTCAGTTTTTAAGTCTTATCCATTTCAAAGGAATGTCTCTTAATATATGTTTCCCTTTCGTCCCTTAATTGCTTACAGTTAATTTGTTGAAGATTCTGGACCATTATAGTATGTCACAGACTGAATTTTGCTGATTACATATTCATGATGCCTGTTTTGTTATGTTTCCTCTTGTTTTGTTATTCATTGCTGGGCATTGAATGCAGGCCCTTGTACCCCATGCAGTTCTAAATGTTCCTGCTGATTGGTAGCTGGATCCAGAAGCTGGTTTGCACTCAATCACTTTGACAAGACTGTAAGAGGCATGTGAATGTAGTTGGGTCTGTGATAGTTTTTTTAAGGGTAAATACTTTGGGCTTGTATCTGTTACTTTACTGGGTATTATAAATTTACTGGACATTATAAATTGGCACTAAATTCTAGGACTTTTGTTGTTGTTGTTGTGGTACTGAGGATTGAACCCAAGGCCTCATGCATGCTAAACAAATACCCCACCATTAAACTACATCCTGGACCTAGAACTTCATTTTATTGACACTTCTATAAAGAGAAATTTTCATCTGTGCATGGAGGCGCACATGGTAATCCAGGACTCTGGGAGATGAGAGAAGATCATCATGCATTCAAGGCCAGCACAGGTTACAGAGTGAGACGATGTCTCAAAAAAAAAAAAAAAAAAAAAAAATAGGTTGAGGATGTAGTCAATGCAAAGGCCCTGGGTCCAATCTTCTGTGACAACCCCCCGAGTGAGGGACACTTCCCACTCTCCACCCCATTGACATTTTTTTGGTAATAAGTCTACATTGTTAGCACATATAGTCGGTATATGTGTTTCCTCTTTAACTCTCATGAAGTTCAGTTCTACAAATAACTTCATAGCTGAGCTGGGCGTTGTGATACACCACTGTAATCCCAGCATTCAGGAAGATGGGATAGGAGGGTCACTTGATGTTCAAGGCTAGCCTGGGTTACATAGTGAGACCCTGTCTCAACAAAACAAAATATAACAAAACAAAACACTTATAGCCAGGTAGAATGGCATATTCCAGCAATCCCAGCACTGGGGATGCTGAGGCAAGAAGATCACCATGAGGGGATTTAGCTCAGCGTCGTAAGTGCCTGGTTAGCAAGCACAAGGTTGTGAGTTTGATCCCTGGTACAAAAAAAAAAAAAAAAAAAAAAAAAAGACAAGGCCCTGTCTCCAGAAAAACAAATAAATAAAATAAAAGCAAAACAAAAAAGATGATGATATGGTACTTTAAGGGTTGGAGATAATTTGATACCAACAGTATACTTTTCTCATACCATTGAACCTTTTGGTTAAAATAAATACTGGGAAAAATACTACTTTAAGTTTCAGTGAAAAGGGCCAGGGATATAGTTCAGTGGGGTAAGTGCCTGCCTGGTAAGTGTGAGATCATGAGTTTGATCCCTGGTACCAAAAAAGAAAAGAAAGAAAAAAGAAAAAGCCAAACATAAATGAAGGGCCAGGGATTTAGCTCAGTGATATAAGTGCCTGCCTCACAAGTATGCGGTTGTGAGTTTGATTCCTGGAATGAAAAAAAAAATCATGCCAAACAATAAATGAAACAGCTCTGGCAGTGGTCATCCTGCCTATGTACTCCCTACAGTCAGAACCGCTGACATTTACATACAGGGGTTTTGTTGATGTTGAATGGAGAACGTGTCCCTCATCAATTCTTATGCCTCAGAGCAGAGAGAGTGTTTGTATTGATACCAGTGAAAGCAGTGCTGCCAAATTTGATGAAAGGGAGGGAGTTTTAAGGAGTATTAGCTGTAAAGAAGCCACTTGCTCAGGCAGAGCATTTTTTTGTGTATGGAGTTTTTTTGGAGGGGGAAGTTTCACATAAGGCCTTGCTTTGTAGTTTAGGACAGCCTTGGAATCCCAGCAATCCATCTGCTCAGCCTCCCAAGTGCTGGGATTACATACATGCACCACAATACCCAGCAAAAGCTAGAAGAAAAGCATCAAAGGAAACCTTTGTTCTCTCTGGTAGCATCTGAGTCTTTTCCTGAAACTGTTGTAATAGAAAAAGAATTTTTATCATCCACCTTCCTAGCACACCTAGCCACTATCATTCTCTACTACTTCCCATTCCAGGAAGAAAAAACATTCTGTCAGAAGCCGCAGAGGAAAGGGCAAAAAAAAAAAAAAAAAAGGGTTTCAAAGTTCAAAGCTGCTAGATTGCATTAGAAGAGCTAGGGCACACCCTAAAACCTAGATATGCATTTTTAGAATATACCCAGCAAAAAATATATTACATGTGCTTTGAAATAAGGCATCATGAGTTAGTTTGGCAGCAACTTTTAAAAAATCCTTATCAGTGGGTAGTACTAAAAAAATTCAAAGTAAATGTTCGAATACTTTAATATTCAGCTTATTAATTCTCTCAATACTGTCTAAATTGGCCTGATGATGCAGTGGTAGCATTTCAAATTATTTCTTTTTTCTGTTTTTTTTTTTTTGTTTTCTTTTTCTTTGTAAGACAGTCTCTCTATGCAGTTCAGGCTGGCCTTGAACTTACCATGTAGCCCAGGCTGACTGCCAACTTGTAGTGATCCTCCTGTCTCAGCCTCCCACATGCTGGGACTGCAGGCATGCACCATCATAGTAGGCCTCAAATTATTTTTGAAAGAATACTGTTCATATGCATTGTTTCTGTTTCAGACTAAATACAAGCAGGTTTGTATCAATTGTGATGTAGTGCATTCCATATGTACTGGGGACCCCTGCAGTGGCCTCCAATCTCCTGCCAAGTGTTACAGTGCATGGCAGGAAAAAAGAGGAAAAGACAAAGTAACCCTACAAGGGAGATCTGGGAGGCCTAGTCATTTAAAGGGGAACAAAAGGCTAGGAGGCAGCCAGACACTCCACATTTATTGAATGAGAAGAGGATTATCAGATCACTTCCTAGGGCAGTGGTGATTTTAAACTAATGAGGATATTTGCCCTGGAGCATCTTTAGTCTTAGAGGTCTTAGTGGATGAGAGAAAGTGGCCCACTACTAATGGGATAATGGGAAATTTCAAAAAGGTGACACCAAAAATCTCAAGCCTCTGTTCATTCCTTAAGGAAGTATATACAATTAGCCATTGTAAATTTGTTGTCTACAACACACTATGAACAGTTTTTGTTGTTGTTTTGTTTTGTTGAGATAAGATCTCATTATGTAACCCAGGCCTCCCAAATATAGCCACCACACTCAGACCATATGGACTATTTTAAAGAAACTAAAAATTTCAATGAATTCAACACTTGGATTTCTTGGTTTCACATTTTATGTTCATGGATTCTTTTTTTTTTTTTTTTTTTTTTGGTACAGGAATTGAACTCACATCCTCGTGCTTGACAGGCAAGTACTTATGCTGCTAAATCCCTGGCCTTGGTTTCACATTTTAAACCTACTTTGAAAAAATCCTACTAGCCAGGCAAGGTGGCACACATCTCTAATCCCAACACTCAGGAGATTGAGGC